AAAGTCATTCTTTATGGCTAAGTAATACTCTACTGTGTATATATACCACATTTTCTATAATCTTTTGAAGGGCACCTAAGTTGGCTCCATAGCTTAGTTATTGTGAATTGTTTGCTATAAACATTGATGTGGCTGTGTCAACTGTAGTATGCTGATTTTAACGCCTTTGGATATATACCGGGGAATGGGATGACTGGGTCAAATGGTGGTTCCGTTCCAAGTTTTCTGAGGAATCCATACTGCTTTCCAGAGTGGTTGTACCACTTTGTCATCCCACCATAATGTATGAGTGTATCCCTTTCCCCACATCCTTACCAACTTTATTGTTACTTGTGTTCCTGATAATTGCTGTTTTGACTGGAGTGAGATGAAATCTCAGTGTTGTTTATATTTGCATTTCTCTAATTGCTAGAGATGTTGAACATTTTCTTGCATATTTGTTGACTATATTTCTTCTTTTGAGAAGTTTCTGTTTAGTTCCTTTGCCCATTTATTGGTTGGGTTATTTGTTTATACTACAGGGCTATAGTAACAAAAACAGCATAGTTATTAGCACCAAAACAGGCATGAAGGCCAATGGAATAGAATAGAAGAAACAGACAAACCCACATAAATACAGTCGTCTCATATTTGGCAAGGTGCCAGAAACATACATGGGAGAAAAGAGATCCTTTTTAACAAATGGCACTGAAAAAAACCTGGAAATCCATATATAGTAGAATGAAATTTAACCCCAGTCTCTCACCCTGCACACTCCTGAACTCAAAGTAGATCAAAGACTTAGGAATTAGACCAGAAACCCTGCTCCTGCTAAAAGAAAATGTAGACTCAGCACTCTAAATGTTGGTTCAGGAACTGAATTCCTTAACAAGACTCCTGATGTGTAGGAAGTAAAACCAGAAATCATTAAAAAGCTAATTCACAGCAAAGGAAACAATCAAAAGCATGAAGAAAGAACTTACAGAATGGGAGAAAATCTCAACTGCTCTCAGATAGGGCATTTATATCCAGGATATACAAATAATTCAAAAAACTTAACATCAAAAAACAAAACAAGGAGCTGGGATTGTGGCTCAGTGGTAGAGTGCTCACCTAGCACGGGCGGGACCAGGGTTCTATCCTCAGCACCACATAAAAAAAATAAAACGCATTGTGTTGTGTCCATCTACACCAAAAAATAATACTAAAACAATAACAACAACAACAACAAAAACAACAACCCAATCAATCAATAGGCAAAGAAACTAAATAGGCTTTTTAATATTAGTAATTTGTGTCCTCTTTTTTCCTTAGTTACCCTGGCTAGACAATTACTGATTTTATTTGTCTTTTCAAAGAACCACCTTCAGGTTTTGTTGATTTTTTTTTTTTTTTTCTTTACTGAGTTCTTATCTTCAATTTTATTGATTTCTGCTCGAATTTTTACTTCTTCTCTTTGGATTCAATTTGGTTTTCACTTTCTAGTGGAAGCTTAAATTACTGATTTTTATATCCTCAGTTGATCATTACTGACTTCATACCTTTCTTTTTTTTTTAAAAAAATAGTAATAGCTCTTAATCTTCAGGTATTTACAGTTTACTTTTTTTCCCATGTGTGTGTTTTACTTCTAGTCAGTCCCTTCTGTTCTTTGTTTATTATGGTCATTCATTTTACCTCTCTGTATATTAAGAGCCCAATAATACATTATTATTATTTTGCTTACTTCGAAAGAACAATTGACCTTTTAAAATTTTAGTTTTACTGGGGAGGTATGCAGTTCTATAAATTTTAACACATGAATATTTGTGTATCCACAATTAGGAACTTTCTCCAAAAGTTCCTTGATGCTGTTCCTTTATAAGTCACACCTTTGTCCCTCTCCCAGCCAGTCTCTTTTTCATCATTGCAATTTTCATATTTTTTGAGAATGTCATGTAAGTGGAATCATACGGCATACAACCTAATGAGGCTGGCTTCTTTATATATATTTAATTGTAGATAGACACAATGACTTTATTTATTTATTTATTTTTATGTGGTGCCAAAGATTGAACCCAGTGCCTCACATGTTCTAAGCAAGCACTCTATCACTGATCTACAACCCTAGCCCTAGCTTTTTTTTTTTTTTAAAAAAAAAAATTTATTAGAGCACTATAATTTACATAGTATATGAGTTAATTTCATTTTGACAAAATCATACATGCAAGGAACTTGGTTTCAAATACTTTTTTTTTTATGGTGTTGGGGATTGAAATCAGGGCCTTGTGAATGTGAGGCTAGCACTCTACCAACTGAGCTATATCCACAGCCCTAAGGAATTTGACTTCAATCCCAATTTCCACACTCYACTTTTCGCAACCTTCCCTCCCCTTATTCTCCCTGTACTGTAGGAAACTTTCTTTTTTCTACATATACATAAAGGTGATATTCCCTTTAGTACCTTTATATATCTTGTTGCATTCATTCCATTTTTCTTTCCCTTCCTTCCTCATTCTTCTACTTATTCCACTGATCTTCCCTATGTCTATATGGTGTTCAATCCCTTTACCAACTGCCTTTTTTCCCTTGTCTTGCTCTAGCTCTGGCTTCTGCATATGAGAGAAAATATTTGACTCTTCATTTTCTGAGTGTGGTTTGTTTCATTAAGCCTGTTTTTCCCCATTTCTATCCATTTACTGGTAAATATGATTATTTCATTCTTCTTTATGGCTGAATAGAACTCCATTGTATATCTATACCACATTTTCTGAATCTATTCATTTATTGACAGGCATCTGGGTGATTCCATAATTTGGCTGTTGTGAATTGTGCTGCTGTAAACATTAAAGTGGCTGTATTGCTATAGTAGGCTGATATTAAATCTTTTGGATAAATACCAAGAAGTGGGACAGCTGGGTCATGTGGTTGTACCATTCCTAGTTTTTTGCAAAATCCATACTGTTTTCCAGAGTAGTTGTACTCATTTGCAGTCTATATTGTGGTATTTCCATTTTTGGAGATTATGAATAGAGCTTTCATCAATCTTTATGTACAGGTTTTATATGAACATGAGTTTTCATTTCTCTTGGGTAAATACTCAGGAGTGGGGTTGTTGGATCGTTTGGTAAGAAATGTTTAACATTTTAAGAAACAGACAAATGTTTTTCCAGAGGTGCTATATAGTTTTGCATTCAATGTATGATAGTTCTAATGCTCATATCCTTACCAGTGCTTGAAAGGATCAGTTCTTGTCTGTGTCTGTTCACCTCCCTTCCCCATCCTCTTGCTGGGGATTGAACACAGGGACACTTTACCATTGAGCTATATCAACAGCTTTTTAAAAATTTGAGACAGGGTCTTGCTGTGTTGCCAAGACTAGCCTTCAATTTGTAATCCTTCTGCCTCAGCCTCTCAGCTAAGTAGATGGGATTATAGGAGTGTGACAGTATACCTGGCCAGTATCAGTATTTTTTTTATTTTAGCATTTTATTAGGTATGTGGTGTTATCTCATTGTGACATTAGTTTTCATTTCCATAATGAGTAATGATCTTGAACATCTATTCTTGTACTTGACATATTTATCTATTTTCATAAAAATAACTTCACCTTTTTTTTTTGCCTATTTTTAAATTGGCCTACTTCTTCCTGAGTTTTTAGATTCTTTATATATTTTAGGTATTAGTCCTTTGTTAGGTATGTGATTTGTAAATATTCATAGTCCATAGCATGTCTTTAATTTTGTTAAATGTCTTTTGCTGAGAAAGTTTTACATTTTTATTGAATTTATGAGTCCAGTTTATGAGTTTTTCATTTATAAATAATGCTTTTGAGGTCATGTCTAAGAACTCTACTTAAACTAAATCATGAAGATTTTCTTCTGTGTTCTTTTCTAAATATCTCACAGTTTTTAGGTCTCCGATCCATTTTGAGATAATTTTCATATAAGATGTTATATTTAGGCTGATGTTCATTTGTGGCTATAGTAAATGGTGTTCTAATACCACTTGTTGAAAGATTATTCTCCTTTCCTTCTATTGAATTGTTTTGCACCCTTCCCTAAAATTACTTGGCCATATTTGCATAGGGTGTTTTTTCTGACCTTAATTCTCTTCTATTGATCTGTGTTTTTCCTTTCACAATATCACACAGTCTTGAATAGTATAGCTTTTTAATAAGATGTTTCTTTGCATTTACAAAGAAATATTTAGGATCAGATTTTCTGTATGTACAAAATGTCCTTGATGGGCATGTGCTTAAAATCCATAGGTGAATTGGTAGGAGAATTGACAGTTTTACTGGGTTGAGTCTTTGAATCCATGACTGTATGTCTTCTTTTTTTTAGCTCCTTTTCTTTTATCAGCTTTTTGAGATTTTCAGAATTATTTGTCTTATAATATTTACACCTCAGTATGTTAATTTCTTGTTATAAATGTTACTGTTTTTAAATTTTATTGTATATTACTGGTATATTATAGTTAAGGCGTGTGTGTGTACATATGTCTGCCCTTGTATCCTTCAATCTTTGAAAATACATTTATTAGTTCTTGGAGATTTTTTCCTTTTATAATTTTGAATTGATACAAGCAACAACATGGACACAAATAGATCTTCTAGCATCAAATTCAGTTTTCCCTTACATCAAGTTTTTATACTACAGTCTCTAAAACATTTAATGCTTCATATTAACTATATGTCTGGAAATGATTGGTTATTGATTTCTTTTTTATGTTGAATAAAGAAGTAGAAATTATTCTTGTCAATTTTAATTTCATTTTATAAAACCGTGATAACATTATTAGTTTCTAAGGTAAGATAACATTTCGTGACGAGGGTGTATATATACACACACACATATACATACATAAGTATATAAGTAAGTGAATAGAAATGTTATGAGAAAAAATGTCTCGAATTTAGGGAAAGTATTTATTATTACTATTTTTCTTCACATCAACATCTTGTCCCTCTTTACCACTACCTGTATTTTACCTTTTGTTCCTTTCYTACAATCTATTTTAACTAGCACTTTTCTTCATTTAGTTATTTCAGGTACCCTTGGAAGAGGAAGGACAGCGTGGTGGGCCTATCCTTGCACCAGAAGAGATTAAGACTATTTTTGGTAGCATCCCGGATATCTTTGATGTACACACTAAGATAAAGGTAAATTTGAATCCTTTAGGTTGGTAGTATTTCTTTTTTCTTTTTTTTTTGGATAGGGTGTATTATTGTGATCTTTTAGTTATCTTAATAAATTTTGTGTTGAAAACTTATTACCTCATTTGTTTCTTTCAATCGGTTGCCCCTTTGTCTAGTGCCTTATTAATATTTGTTGTTTATCTTTTGATTTCGATTAATACTAAAAATAGGAGTTAAGGCTTTATGAAATCTTTTCTATAGAAATGTGATTCCTAGTACTAATTTTACTTTTTTACTGTCATTGTTCTTGGGTTATGTAGGTTTGTTTGAGTTTGAATATGTTTGAAAATAAATACAGCTGTAAGGGACCTAGAGGTCATTTAATTTATTTCTCTGTTTAGGCTGATAAATGCCCAAACCATGTAAGACAGTATTATTTTMTTCTTAAACATTTTCCTTTAGTGAAGAATTCCAGGATTTCCAGATGTCAGTCTGGAAATAGTAATTTGGGGGTAGATTTAGCTGAACTCTTTGTTGTTGTTTGAGGGGAGGTTTCACTGTGCTGCCCAAGCTGGTCTCAAACTCCAGTGAGTAAGTTATCCTCCTACTTGGCTCCTTAGTACCTGGGAGCATAGGCATGCATCACCACTCCTGGAATGCTGAACTCTTAGTAACAATAGTTTATCTTTGTTTCTCTTATTTTTTCTATATGATAATTTGAGTGAAACTGATTAATGTTTTTTCTATATTCCAAATAAAGCATCAAACTGAATTATATAATGTTCTCAAACACATTAAATTGTTTTTTCTTTTAATGTACATTGTAAGCAAAAATATTAAAAGATTGTAAGTTAGTAGGAGTGCAGTTTATCAAATGCTTACATTTTATCAAAAATCCTTAGTCATATTTCAGTTATTGTTGAGATCTAAAGGGAACCACATCCCCAACCTTTTTTTTTTTTTAATTTTGAGACAGGCTCTCACTAAGTTGCTAATTCTGGCCTTTAACTTGCAATTCTCCCATGTCAGCTTTCCGAGTTGGTGGGATTATAGACATGCCACTGTGCCTGGCTCATTTTTTTCTTTAAATATAGCTAGCCATTTACTGAATTTTCCCACATTTTTAGTGCAAGAAGTTGATATTATTGTTGTCCACATCTTATACACGTGAGACTGCTATATCCAGAGATTTAATAATTTTCCAAAGTTAATCATTTGATAAACATTAGATCCAGTATTTGAATTCTTGTTTGTCTAATACTACACTGGCACTTGGTGTGTGTATCTATATCTATATATCCATTCTGTAGTCTTCCATGCTTTAAAAAAGATACCATAAGATTATACTGGCAGAACTATAAGTATTTTCTGTTTTATATCTCAGTTTTCTATGTTCCCTTCTTTATATTAAATATTTATGTGGGAAAATAAAGCTAATTATAACTTATTGAGCACTACTGTCTGTTTAGGATTCTTTTAGATGCTGTACAAATATTAACTCATTTAATTTTCTATGAGGTAGGAATGATTGCTATCCTCATTTTTCAGAGTAGGAAATTAAGTTACATAGAGGTTAAGAAACAGGTCTAAGAGCACAAGATTAATAAGCCCTAGCGGCATATGTAAACCTTGGTAGTTGTCGCCAGTATCCACTACATTGTATGGCCCCAAGGCTAGACATATATATAATATTTTTCTTTTTTCTTTCAAGTGCAGTTTTGAGTAGATAAGCTTTCGTAGTTCTTGTGTCAAAGTTTTCTTACTTTGAGTTCACTTTTATGCCTTGAAAGCTATTTTATCCCCTTTTAAGTTTCTGAATGTGCTAATATAAGACAATGGTTTATTATTTGGATTCAGAATCCCTTTTTGTTTGTAAAAATCAAGAAACTTGTTTTGTTGTGCTGGGGATGAGACTAAGGATCTTATGTATACAAGACAAGCTCTATGTTACAGAACTACATCCCTAGCCCTGTGTGGATTTTATCTATTGGGATTAACTCTACTCAAAATTAAAAAAAAAAAAAAAAGAAAATTAAACTAGATGCAACAATTTTTGATGGCTTTATTTATGTACCATTATACATGTCTTTAAATTCACCTATTTAAAAGGTGCATTCTAATTGTTTTAGTAACTTTGCCAAATGGTATAAATATCATCATAAATCTGTTTTGAAATATTTTGATTCTCTACCCCAATAAGATCTTTTATCCCCATTTATTGTTAATCCTCATCACTAGCCACAGCCAACCATTAAGCTATGAATTTGTCTTTTCTTAGATATTTCATGTAAATGCATTTATATAGTTTATGACCTCTGAGGTCTTGCTCCTACTTATCATTTTTTTCAGGTTTGTATATGTTGTTCATGTTAGTTTATTTCATTTTATGACAAAAGGATGTTTCATTATATTCACTATAACAGATTTTTTAAAAAAATATTATTTACCAGTTAATGCACATTTATGTTATTTCCAAGTTTGGGTGATTATGAATAATATTACTGGGATCATTGTTTGCAAATCTGAGTAGATAATTAGAAGGAGAATTACTGGGTAATTTTATATTTAAGGTTGTGAGAAATTGTCAGGATTTTCCATTATTTTTGTTTTCATTCCTTTAATTTTCCACATTCTCATCAATACTTAGTATTATCTTTATTTTATTTTTCTAAATTAGAACAATCCTAGTAGTGAAGTGGAATCTCTTATGGTTGTAATTGGCATTTCCTTAGTGATTAATGGCATTGAATACCATTTCAGCATGCCTTACTAGCAATTTGAATATCATCTTTGGTGAAATATCTGCTTAGATCTATTGCCCATTCTTTGGGTTATTTTTCCTCTTAATGAGTTGTAAGCATTTGTAAATTCTGGATATAAGTTCTTTTAAAGTACAAGAGTTTTAAATTTTGAAGTTGTTCCTAATCCAAGATTTTAAATATATCCTCTTATATTTTCTTCTAAAAGTTGTTTACCTTGAGGTGAGGGCTTATAGTTTGTCTTTTTTTTTTTAATGTACGATACCTAATTTTAAAATATATTAATTCATTTAAAATAATAATAATAGATTATCTGGTCACATAAATAATATATTCTTTATGAAAATCAATTTTCAAGGAACTGATTATTGAGAAGAGTGGTGATGTTTTACATTGTTTGTATTTTATTTACTATTTGGCTTTAAACGAAGATGAGTTATCATATTTCCTTCTGTATTCATTCAGTCTGTTGGAATATCACATATCATGTAGCTTCTAGAAAACTGTATACTTGTAAGAGAATGTGAATGAAGTAGTCGAATAATGCCTTAGTATTACTAAATGAAAATAGTTTTAATCTCATGGATCCCACTGAAAGTGTTTCCTAGGGTGTTTTTTTTTGTTTGTTTGTTTGTGTGGGCAGGGTACCTGGGATCTAACTCTGGGGCACTTGCCACTGAGCCACATCCCCAGCCCTATTTTGTACTTTATGTAGAGAGAGTCTCACTGAGTTCTTAGCCCCTTGCTTTTGCTGAGGCTGGCTTTGAACTTGTGATCCTCTTGTCTTAGCCTCCTTAGCCACTGGGATTATAGGCATGCACCACTGGCTCCTTTGGATGACATGTGGAGAACAGCTGGTAGAAGAGTCTCTTAATTGATTTTTACTTTAAAATCACTTAGAATTTTAATTTAGATAATGTCATTTCTTGGCATTTCATTTAATTGTTTAATTTGTTTTATTATCTTATAAAGCTTTAGAATATTTTCTAAAATTTTCAAGAATGTAACATTTTAGAATTACTGTGAGGAATTTTGTAGAYCAGAAATTAGCAAACTGTGGTTCATGAACCAACTCCAGCCTGATTGTTTTTTTAATAAAGGAAGTCTTATTAGCACATAGCCACGTTCATTTGTTTGAATATTGTGTATGGCTGCTTTTACTCTATAGAGCTGAAKAGTTGTGACAGAAACCATATGGCCTGCAAGCCTTAAAATATTTACCATCTGGATGGGAAAAGGGAAGTACGGTGAAATGAATCTCACCTAACTTTCCAGGGTACATGTATGAATATACCAAAGTGAATCTTACCTTCATGTGTATATTTACAAGGCACTAATTAAAAACAAACAAACAAAGAAATAACAACAAAAAGGAAAACCCACACTTTTAAATAGATAGCAGGAAAATCAGTAGAGTAGAAGAAAGGGAAAAAGGAAATAGTACTGAATTAGAGCAAATTATATTCCATCCTTATATAATTATTTAAAAATGAACCCTAATATGATGTATAATTAAAAGGATCTAAAAAAATAAATAAAATATTTATCATCTGACCCCGTCAGTAAAATTTGTTTTGTTTTTTGGTTGTCCTTGTGGTTTGAACCAAGGGCTTGCACATGGTAGGCAAGTACTCAATTACTGAACTACATGTCCAGATTTTTAAAAATTCTATTTTGAGACATGCTTGCTAAATTGTCCAGGTTGGCCCCAAACTTGAGATCTTCCTACCTCAGTCACCTGAGTCTCTGGGATTATAGGCATGTTAACCTTATTTGTCAATTTATATTAAATAACATGCTTCGGCAGCAGGATTAAATGTAGTTTTCTAATTAATAGCACCACCAGTTAGCTTTATAGTTAATAAGAAAAGATTGAATGTGATAACATTTTGAGAAGTTAGGTTTTGTCTTATTGACTGATACTATTTATATTTTCTTAATTATTTTTCAAAGGATGTTTTCTTTGTAGACAAAAAATTCCTTATTGAGGAGAAGAACAAAGTATGAACTATTTTTATACATTAAGTTAAAACATTTTTTGGAGTGCTTTTTCCCAATAAGGAGGTGTCAAGTTTGATTTTAAATGTTCTAATTTGTGCTATTTCAGGATGATCTTGAAGACCTTATAATTAATTGGGATGAGAGCAAAAGCATTGGTGATATCTTTCTTAAATATGTAAGTAGTTTCTTCCTTTTAAAAAATTTTCAGATTGAAGTATTATCAGGGACTGGCAAAGAGGGAAATTTACTTTTTGAAATGTGAGATGTTTTCAAACTTTGACATGATTATCTTTATTAAATATATCAGAATTTTTCTTGACTTCTAACATGTTTTCTATGTATGACTTAACACATGATCATTGTTAGAACCCTACTTGTTGCACTGCACTAGATTTTACTTTATGTTATTTGCTCTTTCTAATGGTCACAGATTCATGAGTTTTTGAAAATGTTAAATTTTTATTGTTTTTTTCTTAGTTGGTGTCACTTTTGTTTGTCATTATGTTTATTTCTGTTTAAAGGTTTCTAATGAATTGCTTCTTTATTAGAGTAAGAACTCCCTAGGTTGTTTATAAAATTAAAATAATTTTGGTGAGGTGCTGTGAATAGGATTTACTGTATAATTTTTTAAAAAAATTTCTTTGAATAGGAATTACAAGTCAGTGCCTTGAGTACTGACACATGTACTTCTGTTTTCTAAGGACTCTCTTTAACTTCCTTCCTTAGCATATAGTCTCTTAAAAGTTCTTTTTTAAATTTTTTTTAGTTGCAGTTGGACACAATACCTTTATTTAATTTATTTATTTTTATGTGGTGCTGAGGGTCGAACCCAGTGCCTCGTGCATGCTAGGTGAGCACTCTACTGCTGAGCCACAACCCCAGCCCCTCTTAGAAGTTTTTTTCCTGGTTGATTAAGAATCCACATATGCAAATCATTACCATGTATCTTTTTGATACCTATTTGTCTCAGGATAGTGTTCCTTTTCTCATTTGCATTTTTGGGTAATATAGTTGGTATTTTAATGGTGGTTTGGAATCTTCTATAAATAATATAGCATGCTTTTAGATTTTCTGTAGATCAATTCTATTTTTTTCATATATTCTAAAAATTTGTGAAGTTTTAAAGTTTTATTTGTTATATTTGTGTAAGTATGATAAGATTTAATATACTTTTGCTTCTGTTTGGTTTTCAATTTTCTAAAATTACAAGTTAATGTACTTTGTTTAGCAATTAACTCTCTTTACTGGGAAGTTTAGAAGGTGAATTTCTGTATTTAATTTGTGAATAAACTTACTTGAAGAAACTTACTTTAAACACTTTCCCTTTACATTCAAGATGTCAGACAGTGACTGGATTATTTGACCTTAAGTTTCATTGTCTAAAAGTGATATGCATAACAAATTAATGATTCTTTTCCCTTGTTCCTAGTCAAAAGATTTGGTAAAAACCTACCCTCCCTTTGTAAACTTCTTTGAAATGAGCAAGGATACTATTATTAAATGTGAAAAACAGAAACCCAGATTTCATGCATTTCTCAAGGTAATTTTTATATCTTTCAAATAAAAATCAGAATCATTTCTGAAGGAATTCATTAAATTATAATTTAAGTAAAATTACCTACATATAAGAGCACTCTAATATTGTCTGTTAATTTTAGTTGTACGTATAAGTGACAAATATTTTTTATTTCAGAAGATTTGATATATTAAGTAGTAGAGCACAAAAGGCAGATGAGCAAATGAGGATATTGTATGTGGCTATTTAAAAAGAAAAAAATTATACTTGTTTTAACTCTCAAAATACCTAGCGATTTTCCTGTGAGACTTCATTTTGCCTTTAATGGTTGCCTTTCCTCACCTGTGCCTTGTATGTTTATCTAATGTACCAGCATACTTAATATTTTAAAACTTTTTTTTTGTTTAAAATGTAGATGTAAGAGAAAATTAAGATGGGATATATAGAGGATTATAGAGGAACTCACTTCCATAAAATATGTTAAGCTTTGATGGCCAAGAGGAAATTTCAGTTCCTGGAAGATTATTATCCACAGTGATTTTCCAGAGATCCTATGTCTTCTCCATTAGTTCTTATCAGGGACAATTATGATCAGATGTAATCTAATAAATGTAAGATGTCTAATCGTTGAAGAAAACTTAATGAATAAATTAATTCCTTTCAGATAAATCAAGCTAAACCAGAATGTGGACGGCAAAGCCTTGTTGAACTTCTCATTCGACCAGTACAGAGGTTACCCAGTGTTGCATTACTTTTAAATGGTACTTGTCTGGACTGTTTTCAGATTACTTCATGTATTTTCATGGAACTGACTTTTCTAAAACAGTTGAAATTCTTCTTTTCAGATTTTCTTATACTTGAGAATTGAAGTTTATATATCTTTTATATAGAAAACATCTTTATGGATAACTTTAAAAAGCACTTGCAAATATTAGGAAGATACTATATCKCAGGAGCTCACAGGCTAGCAAGGAAGACAGATAAATGTATAATCATAATAAATGAGAGGAAAGGATAACAATAGAGAAAAAACAAAACAAAAAAATTACAGATGCTATAAAAATTAAGTTTAGTACTTGAAATACTTTATTTGTTCTGAAGTTACTTATGTTGACTAATATTTTATCCTTTTTCTTTCCACTTAAAAATCTTCTTGTATTTCATGGTGTGTCACTAATTCAAAATCAATTTATATTTAAGTACCACAAAATTCACCCACAAAATTAAAAGGCAAGGGATGATACATATGTCCCAAATTTTTAGTTAAATTCCTTATGTTTGGTCTTATACTTTCTTATTTTTCCTTAGATTGTTCAAAGCTGTATCTATTTATTTTAGAACTATAGATATCAGTAGAAGAAAGTTGGACATCAAAGATTTTTTATGAATAAATTTTACCTTTGGTTAAAAAAAAGTATGTATATGAATGTGGGAGTGAGTGTGTATACATATATATATTTTATTCTTCTACATTCAGCAGACTAAAGTAGTGAGTAGTTTTAGGACAGTGCCAGTTTTTATTACTTTTTTGGTTTTATTTTTTATTTTTTGGGCTTATAAATTTTTTTCCCATTTTTTAATTGATATGTTATAGTTGTACATAATGGTGGGATTTGTTATTATATAATCATACATGTATACAATATAACAGTACAGTTTGGCTAATATCATTCCCCAGTATTTCCCTTTTATTACATTAAAAAAAAATTAAAGTGTAAGGCTAAATTACAAACAAAAAATTTGCAATAAAAACTAAAAAATAAATATTAAAATTCTCTCTCTCTTTCTCTCTCTCTCTCTCTCTCTTTTAAAAAAAAAAAAAAGAATTTTGATTCCTAAGCTTATAGTAATATGTACAGCAGAGAAGGAGGCTGATTTTTGTGACTGTTTAATCTGTGTTTTTTTTCTGTAAAATGTTTTGGTTAGTAAGAGGTAAAGTACAAAGTAAAAAGTAAAAAGTTGATTTTTGTTTTCATTGTGGTTATCTAATGTATTTGAGAATTACCAGCTTATAAAATTCCCCCCCTCTTTAAAACCTATCCTGTTTTACAAATTATAATGTCAGTATATAAACAAACCTTCAAGTTTCTCAAGCTGTGATTTTTTTCCCAATTTGCATATCTCAATTTTATTGCATTAAGTACTTGTAGAAATTTATCAAATGTTGTCATGACTAAAATGAATGTGATCTGTAAGCCTTTTGTCTTATTAGTCCACATAAAAGATTGGGTGGACATGGTATGAGATTGAACATAGATGTGGTAAGAATGTGCCAAGGATGGCATAAGGAACACAATAAGCAACCTGGATAAAAAAGAGTCAATGTGTATGAACTTCTACTAGGAGTCCCCAAGTGTTACTAGAAGGGAATTGAGACAGTTCAATAAGAAAATCAGTGTGACATTTTCTAAAAATTTAGTCAATAGAAAAGTATGGATACCTGATTGTGAAGTGTAAAAGAAAAAGCTTGTTAGGGAATATTGCTTAAACCTTTTTTTTTTTTTTTTTTTTTTTTTTAAAGTGAAGGGTAGATGTTATTTTTTAAAACAATCAGGCTATATCAAGATTGACCACATTTTTAAGTCTTGGATTGGAAACCATTGAATTTTTTAAAATTATGAAACAGCCATTTTATTTTTATAGATCTTAAGAAGCATACAGCTGATGAAAATCCTGACAAAAGCACTTTAGAAAAAGCTATTGGATCACTTAAAGAAGTAATGACGTAAGTGCATTGTTTTAGTTTTTTATTCTTTAGATTTAGAATGGAATTGATATGCTAGTCATAAATAGAAGAGTATCAATAGCAACTTTTTATCAAATAATATCTAACTTATTGTTATTATTTTTTGGTACYGAGGATTTGAACTCAGGGGTACTTGGCCACTGAGCCACATCCCCAGCCTTATTTTGTATTTTATTTAGAGACAGGTCTCACTGAATTGCTTAGCACCTTTTTCTGAGGCTGTCTTTGAACTCATGATCCTCCTGCCTCAGCCTCCCAAGCCCTGGGATAAATTATTTTTTAATAGTGTAGCTGCACATTAAAATGACAAGAAGAGGCTGAGGATGTAGCCTAGGATAGAGTGCTTTTCTAGCATGTGCAAGGTCCTAGGTTCAACCCTGAGAACTGCAAAAAGAAAAAAAAAATTTTAAAAATAAAAAGATGAGGCAAATACATTTATTAATCAAAACATTTGTTTCTGAAATTAAACTATTATGTGTAGACAGAATAACGGTTTAGAAACTTAAAAATGTTATAAATGCTCAAATAGACATTTTCTTCAGTTATGTTATAGCATGTTGTTGTTTTCTTACTAATGTGAACTACCCAAATGTTAACAGAAATTTGACCAGGTAAATTAAAACAAAACAAAACAAAAATGTTTATAATATTTCTATATTCTTTCTTTCTTACCTAGAATTTTATGGAATTAAATTGCTAGTACCATATTGATTAGAGATGTATTACAAGTCCAAACTCAATGAAATTGACTTGAGAGGCTTGATCCTTAAACTGAGGCTGTTGACTATAGGTCTAATTTGGAAAACAGGTCTGATGAGAAATGATCTTTTCTATTAGGATTATAGTGGAAGATTCTTGCCATTACCTGTTTTACCTCATGAAATTCACTTAAACTCTTTGAACTTTATACATGAATGTATTTAATACATTTGATTGAATGATTCCTGTGAATGCATGAGGTTCTTATCTATGACATCATTTATTAGAATGTTTGCAAAGGAGGGTTGGGGATATACCTCAGTGGTAGGATGCCTGTTTAGCTTGCATGAGACCCTGGGTTAATCTCTAGTACTGAAATGGAAAGAAAGTAAAGAAAAAAAAAAAAAAAGAAAAGAAAGAAACACTTGCAAAGGAGCTGTTAGAAAGAAACTTTACTAGCTCTAGAGAGAAAATCCARTTGGAACTCTTTATTATTCACTTATGTGAGAGATTAATCATCAAATTAGCTAATACCAGCTTCTGTTGCTGCTGAAAGGGTTATGGAGTTACATTTTTTATTTTATTTTTTTCCTTGTGGTGTTTTTAACGTTTTCACCTGCCAGCCTTTATACATTTTTGGGTTTTATTTTTAACTTTTTTTCCTRCTTTTGATTTGTTATCCTGAAGTCAGGATAACACTTTTGAGGCTATGATGATGATAATTCTCTTTTTCTCAACAAATTTAAAATAATGTACTATTATTTGCTTTGGTCTTTTCAATAAGCTTCATGAAATGGGCAGTTACTGTTTATTTATTTTTACAAAAGAGAAAAGATGTGAGGTTGTTACTTGCCCAGTTTGCCTGTTTAATGTGTAGAATACTCTATTAACTTATGCTATTTGTTACTTATGTATAATATATTTTGGCAAACTATAAAGAAATAAGTTACTATTAATAATAGGTATTGTAGTAGTGAGTAAACCAATCATTTGTCTAGTGGCCTCCTTTACAATAGTGTTAAGGTGATTGTTAACAGATAAACTGAATCCATAAGACAAATAATTAAAGATTTCTTTTCCTTTTAACATTTTTTTGAGCTTCCTGAGAATTTATGAATATTTTCAATGTATTCTTAAGTGCCTTGCTCATAGGTTTTCAAGTAATGTTGAATTATAGGAGATATTTTAGTGTTGATTTGTAATGTTGATATATAAACCTATTGGAATTTGACTAGATTTAGATTCTTGAACATCTAGTCTAACATGTAAATGCTTATTATGATTTATTGAAACCACCATAATCTGTCAGGTTAAGCAAATAACGAGTCAGCACAATTCACTAATCCTTGCCATTTAAGTAAACCCAAAACACTTGCTAAAATTCAATTCTGACAACATTAGTAACATATGCTTTGCTTATAATAGATTTTGTGAGTGTGTGTGTGTGTGTGTGTGTGTGTGTGTGTGTGTGTGTACCGTTGCTGGAAGTACTGCAATACCAGGTCGATGCGTGGAGTGGATGGAGCAAGCTACTATTCCATCTCCCTGCTCCAAAAATCCATTTAATATATTGTCCTCGGACAGAGGACGTATCAGATATTAAACTGATAAGAACAGATACTACATTTGATCTTAGCCAAAAGGCCAAGAAGTGATTATTATGAATAGATTTTGTTATGTTTCTAATAACTTCAGTATGCTTTTTCTCCCCTCAAATTATATGTTTAAAATGTAGTTTGATTAATTTTGGCATACATACACTCCTATGAAACCATCACCACAATTCAGGAAATTTTCTATCACCCCCTAAATTTACTCATGCTCCTTGGTAATAGATGCCTTGGTAGTGGTTCCACTTCTTTTGCCTCTGCCTATCTCACATATTCCAAGGCAACCATTACTCTTCTCTCTCTTCCTATAATACAGATTTTCCAGGATTTTATCTAAACCATATCACATGGTTTATTCTCTTTTGCATGTTTTTCCCCCTCAGTATAAGTATCTTGAGATTCATATTTATTCTTTTTTTATTATTTATTTTATTTTTTAAAATACATGATAGCTGAATGTATTACAATTCTTATTACACATATAGAGCACAATTTTTCATATCTTTGTATAAAATATGTTCGTGCCAATTCATGTCTTTATACATGTACTTTTTTTTTTGCATTACAATTCTTTTTTTTTTTTTTTTTTTTTGTGGTACAGGGGATTGAACCCAGGGTTATGTGCATGGAAGGCAAGCACTCTACCAACTGAGCTATATCCCCAGCTACAATTCTTATTACACATATATACCACAATTTTTCATATCTCTGTTTGTATATAAAGTAGGTTGACACCTAATTCGTGTCTTTATACATGTACTTTGGATAATGATGTCCATCACATTCCACCATCCTTGCTAATCCCCTGCCTCCTCTCTTTCCGTCCCTCCCCTCTTCCCTATCTAGAATTCATCTATTCGTCCCATGTTCCCCCTCCCTACTCCACTATGAGTCAGCCTCCTTACATCAGAGAAAACATTGGGCATTTGTTTTTTTGGGATTGGATAACTTCACTTAGCATTATCTTCTCCAATGCCATCCATTTACCTGCAAATTGTCTTTTATTGTTGAGTAAAATTCCATTGTGTATATATGCCACATTTTTTTTTTTTATCCATTCATCCTCTGAAGGGCATCTAGGTTGGCTCCACAGTTTAGCTAATGTGAATTATGCTGCTATAAGCATTGATGTGGCTGTGTCCCTGTAGTATGCTGTTTTTAAATCCTTTGGGTGTAGTCCAAGGAGAGGGATAGCTGAGTCAAATGGTGGTTTCATTCCCAGACTTCGAAGGAATGTCCACACTGCTTTCCATATTAGCTGCACCAATTTGCAGTCCCACCAGCAATGTATGGGTGTACCTTTTTGCTCACATCCTTACCAACACTTATTGTTGTTTGTCTTCATAATAGCTGACATTCTGACTGGAGTGAGATGATATCTTAGAGTAGTTTTGATTTGCATTTCTCTGATTGCTAGAGTTGATGAGCATTTTTTCATATATTTGTTGATTGATTGTATATTCTCTTCTGAGAAGTGTCTGTTCAGGTCCTTGGCCCATTTGTTGATTGGGTTATTTGTGGTTTTGGTGCTTAGCTTTTTGAGTTCTTTCTATACCATAGAGATTAGTGCTCTGTCTGATATGTGAGGAGTAAAGATTTGCTCCCAGGATGTAGGCTCTCTGTTCACCTCACAGATTGTTTCTTTTGATGAGAAAAAACTTTTTAGTTTGATTCCATCCTATTTATTGATTCTTGGTTTTAATTCTTGCGCTATAGGAGTCTTATTAAGGAAGTTGAGGCCTAATCCCACATGATGAAGATTAGGGCCTACTTTTTCTTCGATTAGATGGAGAGTCTCTGATTTAATTCCTAGGTCCTTGATTCATTTTGAGTTAAGTTTTGTGCATGGTGAGAGATAGGGGTTTAATTTCATTTTGTTACATATGGATTTCCAGTTTTCCCAGCACCATTTGTTGAAAATGCTGTCTTTTCTCCAGTGTGTGTTTTTGACACCTTTGTCTAATATAAGATAATTGTAATTTTGTGGGTTAGTTTCTGTGTCCTCTATTTTGTACCATTGGTCTACCAGTGTGTTTTGGTTCTAATACCTGCTGTTTTTGTTATTATTGCTCTGTAGTATAGTTTAAGGTCTGGTATAGCGATGCCACCTGCTTCACTCCTCCGGCTAAGGATTGCTTTAGCTATTCTGGGTCTCTTATTTTTCCAGATGATTTCATGATTGCTTTTTCTATTTCTATGAGGAATGCCATTGGGATTTTGATCAGGATTGCATAAAATCTGTATAGTGCTTTTGGTAGTATGGTCATTTTGATAATATTAATTCTGCCTATCCCAGAGCAAGGTAGATCCTTCCATCTTCTAAGGTCTTCTTTGATTTCTCTCTTTAGGGTTCTGTAGTTTTCATTGTATAGATCTTTCACCTCTTTTGTTAAGTTGATTCCCAAGTATCTTATTTTTATTTTTATTTTTTGAGGTTATTGTGAATGGGGTAGTTTTCTTCATTTCCTTCTCAGGGGCTTTGTCACTGATATACGTAAATGCCTTTAATTTAATGGGTGTTGATTTTATATTCTGCTACTTTGCTGAATTCATTTACTAGTTCTAGAAGTCTTCTGGTGGAGTTTTTTGGGTCTTCTAGGAATAGAATTATATTGTCAGCAAATAGTGCTAATTTAAGTTCTTCTTTCCTATATATATCCCTTTGATTTC